AGCATCTTGACTACTTGGCCTGCCAGAATTGGCCTTCAATGTATTAATTTTTCCTCAAAGGTTACTTTGTTTTATGCTGTTTTGTGTGAGACACCTGAAAGGCATCTTAAACATGGATTAGTGGCTCATTCGTCATGAATTCCCCCTGCTTTGGTTGTCTGGACTGATGTTTGTTAATGACCGCTGACTGTCGCACATGATCACAGACCTTGATTAATTCTCTGTCTGCTCGTTTTCACTTCTCGCCTGTCTGATTCTCCTTTTTACTTTCCCCTTGGACCAGATATTGACTATCTGGTTTCTGACTATCGGCTGACCTGTGATTTACTGTCTCTTCTATTGGGTTGAGCTTAAAGAGCACCAATCATGGATTTTTGAAAATGACTGTTCATGTAGAGTGGAATATAGCTCTAAGGGAATGAAAACATTCTGCAAAGATTTATATCTGAAAGTGCACCGTATATAAAGTTATTGTCTTTCAAAAGTGAGAGTCGACTCTGAGTCTATGAAATGAATTGTTTTTGAAACGAGTCATTAGCTGTTACGCCGTGACGTAGATACAAAACATTAGCTCATTGGCCACTCCCAACAACTGTGCGCGCAGACGGGAGTGTAAACTTGAAGTCCAGAACACATTCAAAAACTTAAGCTGAATAGCGTCATGTCGAGAAGACGCTGTGTTCTACATTGCAAAGACAGTTCAGCCACTTGTTTTCATTGCCCAGGGATGCGCATGTGAAGAATCAGTGGTAAGAGTTCATATTTGCAACGATACCACAACAGTATTACCCAAACCTTGTGTTCTCATCATTTTAATGACGAATCGTTCAAAAACATAAATGAATTAAAATGTGGATTCGCAAGCCTATTGTGGGCTCAGTATCCAATATGGATCAGGTTCGTCCTCCTCCGAATCACAATCTGTAAGTAATATTAATAATGTTTGCTGTTATGTTTTCTGTAGCATGTTAGTTGTATTGTGTTGTGTACACTCCGCGCAGCTAAGCGGGGTAAAGTTAATTTTGTTTTTGATATTCACCAGACATTCATTGAAAAATGGCAATTACCTCCTAAACGACTTAGCCAAATATGACTTCGCTCTATATAATAAGCACTGCCCCTCAAAAGCCGCCGCAATGTGAGTTTCGCCGGGAAAGCTCGCTCTTGACGGAGACGCGAGTAAGGGACCGTGTGGAAAGTGCACTTTTTCTGACAAGTTTGTTCAAACACTATATACAATTTTCAACACTTGACAAGCTATAATCCTGGTTATGGGCGTTCTGTTGCCGACAGTCTCTGCCTACGGTTTACCAATAACAACTGACTGGGTCATTTGATCAAACGCCGCAGATTCACGTCACTCAAAGGTGGTGTTCGGGAAAATGAATCGTCGAACGAATCATTCGGGAGTCGTTGAGCAAATCGGGTAAAAATAAATGCATATTATAAGACAAATAAAGAGATTTTTATCCTTGCATGCGCGTTAAACTGTTTTTGGGAACTCCCAAAACAAAAATAGGAACTTTTAAATTGCTATAGGGGCTCTTTAATTAATAAATATGAATTCTGCTTTTGGGTCCTTCATTACCAGAAACCTGACAACCCCATACATTTTTGTTGTTGTTGGTGTAACCTAATATTAGCTTGATTCAGTAACGTTATTTTGTGTTTGGCTTTGTCTCTTTTTTCCACTGTAATGCACTTTGATTGTTTTAATGTGCTGATTATAAGTTTGTGTCTGTGAAGATTGGATGGTGAAAGTGAGGAGCAGAGATATAAGCTATCGAGTTAGAGAGAGAGAGAGATTTCCTTTCACCAGGATGGATTCTTTCTCCTGCCTTTCAATTTTGTTGATTACATTTTTGTGTTGTGATCTCAGGATAATGTGATGAAGTGTTTTTCGACAGAAAGAGAGCCAAACTTGTATGCTTTGAAGTTT